CCCCCCCCCCCCCCCCCCCCCCCCCGTTCCCCCCCCCCCCCCCCCTGGCAGCCCACCTTTGCCAGCAGCTGGGGCAGCACCGGGCCCCACTCGGCCATGGTTGTGCCAAAGCCGGTGATCATCACCACAGTGGGGCCGGAGCTGCACGTCGGGGGCAGGGGGGCGGGGGCAAACCAGCGGCAGTGTGACGCGCAGCAGCGCCAATGCGGGTGGCGGCGGCGGGCACGAGGTACTGCGGCCGCCCACCTGTCCTCGGCGCCGAAGATGTAATACGGGAAGGAGACGTCCCCAACCTGCGCCGTCTGCAGCGGACCCGTCCAGGTGGCGTTGGGGTCGGTGGAGAGCCCCAGGGCGGCGAGCTCATCATCCAAACCCGGCCCTGTGTAGTCGCAGTTCTGGCCTGCAGGCGGCGTGAACCAGCGGCATGCTCACTCCTTCAGCGTCAGGGCGCAGCGAGCAGCGTGGCGAGCCAGCCCTACCTTGCACCAGGGCCAGGTGTGCCGCCAGCAGCACCAGCAGCACGCCAAACCGCTTGCAGGCCATCTTGTATGAACTGAGAGTGCATCAGACGCGCGATAGTGCCATTTGTGAGAGGGCGGGATCTGCCTGAGATGCCACCTGGCGGCGCCGGGCGCCGTGGCCGAGGGGGATGGTGTGCAGCCCTACCATATATGCACGAGTTTCCCTGGGTGGAAACAGGCCGGAAACACCCCTGGAAACTATTGCATTTTCCCTGGCTGGAAAGAGGGAGTTTCTTACAGGAAACAGCTGGAAACAGGGCCGCTGGAAACGTGGGTTTTCTAGGGAGGAAACATGGGGATGGGCGGCGGCGGCAGGCTGATGTGTCCGCCGCCACCGATCACAGGCAGCGCTTGGCAGCGGGGCTGGGTGAGCGAGGACGGCTGTGCCTGGCCCTGCTGCAGCAGCTGCTGCGCATGCTGGGCTGCTCGCCGGCTTACTTCTCCTGAACCGCCCTGGCGACGAGGGTGGGGAGGCCGCCACGGCGCGCCACACTGGGCCGGGGCTGCGCCTGACCGTGGTAGCCTGTGCCTCCGCCTGCAGCACGCAGCAGCGATACAATGTGTTGTGGTCGGCATGCATGGCAAGAGCACGCCAAACTGCTGGGAGTCTGGCCAGCAGGGTTGGGGATTGTGTGCGGGCGGGAGGCACTTCACAGCAGCAGCAGGAGCAGCACAGGAGCAGCACAGGGCAGCAGCGGCAGCAGCAGCAGCAGCAGCAGCGAAGCAATGCAAAGCACAGAACAGTACAGCGCAGCACAGGAGGCCTCCTGCCTGGTAGATGTAGGCCAACGGGATACCGCTGTCCACGTAATGAGCCCGGTCAGTCTGGCGCAGCGCCCGCTCCACTGGCGGCAGGTGGGCCAGGGGGTCATACAGTTGGGAGGGGGGGGGCGGGAGTAGCAGGTGTGGAAGGGTCAGTTGGGTGGAAGGGTCAGTTGGGTGGAGGGAGGCAGCGGCGGGAGTGTGAGCGAGGGTGAGGTGCGAGGGTGCTGCGCATGTAGCTGGCGGCAGCGCCAAGTTCAGGGCAGCTCCCGCACCGTCTGAGTGGGCCACTACCCCGTCTCGCTTGAGTTGGTCGACCAGCCAGTCCTGGCCGCGGGAGCGCATGGCGGCAGACGCGCCCGCTGCGCCGTGCGACGTCGGCGGGCGGGGAGGCTGCCGCGGCGGCGCGGAGAGCGCTGCGGGCGGGCGGGCGAGAGGGGGACGGCAGGGGAGCAGGCATCCAGCGGTGGAACGAGGGATGAGAGGGCAACACAGGGTGGAGAGTTCATGTAGCAGCAAAGGCAGGGGTGGGCGGCCGGGTGTTGCAGTACCCTTGTAGCGGCTCAAAACCTGGCCCCGGTGCGGGTTCTGACGGCAGCATTGGCACCCACCTTCGCTGCGGAGGAAGCTCCTGGAGGCATGGAGCTATGCTGATGGCAGGTACCTTCAGGGCTCGCCTGCAGCGCGGCACAGGAAGGCAGTGCTGAAGGGCAGGCCAGTGTGGTGCAGAACCAAATTGAGGTGAGTCCCAGCTTCGGCAGGTTCGGCAATGATGCATGCATGCGCGTGCGCAGCTGATGCCTGCCAGCGGCAGCGGGCCTTGGGCATACCTGAACCACCCATCCTCTTCCACCGCATCGTCATTCTGTAGCAGAAAGTTTGCTGCCAGGCAGGCTGTCGGCGCGGGGCCGCCATTCATGGCTGGCTTGACCTTGCGGCAGCTGACGAGCCGTCGTGCTGCTGCTCCTAAAGCCTGCGGCGGGGTAGAGGGAGGGTGCGCTGGACTGCAGGGCCAGAAAAGGAGCGCCGGCCAATGTGCTATGCACAAACTGAAGGCCGCAGCTCGACAGCCGCAGGAGTGGGCGCGCGCGGCGGGCAGCCCTCCCCGAGCCCGCTGCACACCTGTGCCAACAGTGAAAAGGATGCCGGAGATGGGAGGGGTCGTCAAGTGGTGCTGCACTGGCGAGGTGGGATTCATGAGCTGCATCGGGTGGGATCGGGAGGCACCAGGGTGAGAGGGTATGGGAGTGGCAGGCTGCTCAGCAGCGGAGGGGTTGCCTGCCGCATTGCTGCCAGCCCTGCTAGAAAATCACACGCGGTTGCACAGCAGCACATGGCGACAGAGCAGCACGCGCGGCACTGAACATGGGTGCTGGTGAAAGGTAGCAGGTTAGCAGGGCCAGTCTGGTGGAGGTTGCAGCACCCGCAGGGCGTCGAGGATGCAGCACCCGCAGGGCGTCGAGGGTGCAGCACTCGCAGGGCGGGCGGCGGCGCGGGCGGCGGCGGCGGCGGCCGCTGCTGACCGGCAACGGCAGCATGGACCACCTGCTGCCAACCTTCTGGACTTCGCTCTGGTGCTGCCGCAGGCTGCGCTGGTGAAGCCGCTACGCGAGGTCAACGATGCGCCCAGCTGCCATCAGCCCGAGCTGCAGCCCGCGCCCAGCTGCCCGTAGATCCTGTTTAAAGGTCGGCGGTCACCGCCTGAGCCGCGGGGGCCAGCATCGCGGGCTCCTGGCCGCCGATCACTTCGGCCGATCAGGGCCCGCCCGCCTCGGTTGCAGGGCCGATTGTAGCTGTATGCATGGCAAAGCAGCAGGCCCGTGCCGCTGAAGACCGCACGTTATCTCTTCTTCCTGCCGTACTCCGGGCAGCACATCCCCAAGGGCGCGTCCCGCACCCACTCGGGCCACTCGCACCTGCTTCCTGAAGTGTTTTGGACAATGTGGCGATGCTACGCGAGATGGGATGAAGGCCACACTGAGAGGCTTCTCCTCCTGCTGCGGTGGGGCTTGCAAATGCTGCAGCGGGGCATAAAATGCTGGTAGGGCGCGATGCAGCGGGCGCAAGTTGGACGGCCTCACATGGCAGCGGCGGGCATCGCCGACGGCGGCGGCGGCAGTGCAGGGGCAGGTCAGTGCTTGGCAACGCTTAGCCATGGGTTGGCATGCACACCGTGAAGAAAAGGAATGCATGCCATTGTAGTGAGGTTGAAAATTGCAGACTGCCGCTTTTGCATTGTTGCGGCGATGAACAACGACAGCAGGTTAGTCGTATGCCGGGTTTCCACTGAGCTGCACGCCGCTTCACTGGTGCGCTCAATGCATTGTTTGTGGTGCAGCACCATGAGACAGAGCTGCAGTGCGTCCAGCGCCTACTTTGCTAGTTGGATGCTCCAGGTTGATGCTGTCAGCCCCGCCTACGCCGCCACCTAAGCCTGGCCGGATTGCTTGCCGGCCCCGCTAGCTCAGTTTCAGCTGAAGGCACATCCAGGTGCGGGCTGCTGGGTTATTATGCCCACTCCCTTCTTCATTCCCATCCCAAGCTTCTGCCAGCTGTCAGGCACCTCGGCAGATGTGTGCCATGCCAACATGGCCCTGCTGTATGGCCTCCCTGCCCGCTCGTGCAGGTCCGAAACCTGATGTTGGAAGTGCAGCGCGTGGACCTGCGCAAGGCCAACACCAACAGCTACGTTGCGGCCACCTTCACGTTGCCCGCCGCCAACAGGCAGGCAGCTGCCAGCAAGCTGTATGTGGGCCGGCTGCAGGAGGTGCTTGTGGTGCCCATTGGCAGCCAGCGTTGCACGCTGCTGAGCGCGTTGTGGTGCCGGGAGATGGTGGAGGATGAGCAATTGCTGGGGCTGTGGTGTGTGCGTGCCTGCGGCCAACCCCTTTGCCGCCGACCACCCGATTGAGGCCTGCCGCATCAACTTTCAGGTGTGGCTGACCACCAACCCCGACCAAGCCGCACTGGCGGCAAGTGCACTTCAAGACCAAGGCAGCGCACGCCATCCCCAACCACCTGCTGCGCAACCCACGCCTTGGAGTGAGCCGCAATGGCGAGTCTCATGCTGGGCCCGCTCTGCCTTCCCGGCCGCCCCGGCTTCCTACCAACATCTTGTTGTGATGCTTGCATGTTCACACATGTAATGCAGTCGGTACCCAGCAGCAGGCACGGTTGGTCCCAGACTTATTGGCTGTGGCAGCGCCAGCGAGCTGGCGCCAGCGAGGCGCCGCCCGCCCATGGCATGTCCCCTTGGTCCCCTCTGTTTCCCCCTGTTTCCCTGGAAACTCACTCATTTCCCCCAGAAACCTCACTTTTTCCGCTCAGAAACGCTGGAAACGCCTTGGGAAACTCGGTATATATGGTAGGGCAGCCTGGACCCTCATCCAAAGCCCCTCACCAAGGGCACGCCCTCACATTTACTGATAGCTGTCTAGCATTAGTTTCCAGATCCCCAACATGGAGGGAGGCATGTGCCACAGGGGAATGCACGCCACCCCCTCGCCTCGTCTTCCGCTTCCCGCCACTGCTGCACGCCTCGCCCCGCCGACGCCAAGAGCGGCACAGCCTACGCCTCCTGCCATCAGTCCAGCGCCTCCCCCAGCAGCAGGCCACCTAGGATGCCCGCCCCGGCCGCCGCCAGCGTCTTTCCAAACCCGCCGCCGCGGCCGGCGCCGCCGCAGGCGTGGCCGGCGCCCCAACCGGCCGAGGTAGGGGGCTGGTGGTAGTACGGTGCGGGCCCTGCAGGACAGCAGGAAGCAGCGGGGGTGTGACAAGGTGCAGGTGCAGGCAGGCGCTGGGAACAACCATGCACATGCCAGCAGGCCGGCTGGGTGGCGATCACATGCGGGCAGGCAGGGCGGAGAGCACAATGCCGCAACCCCAGACCTGGCTGGAAGGTAGGGGACCATTGGTAGGCTGGCGCAGGCGGCGGCACGCCAGAGCCGGGCGAGCTGGAGGGCGGCGCGTCCGCCGGCGGCGGCACGGCATACTGCACGGCAGGCGGGGGCCGCGGCAGGGCGGCGTCAGGCAGCGCCGAGGGCGGCGGTCGGGCGGCGCGCAGGTTGCGGCAGAGCCCCGCCGATTGCCAGAAGCCGCAGGCAGCACCTGCTGCGGTCCCCACGGGCCGGGCGGCGGGGTGCTGGGCGCCGGCACGCCGGTCACGGGCGCCGCTGCCGCCTGGGGCGCGCCAAAGCTGGCTGCCCAGTGGGACAAGGAGGCGCTCTTCCCAGGTGGCTGCTGCTGCTGGGGCGAGGGCACTTGCTGCCATGGGCTCCACTCCCCGGCCGGTGCGGGCTCCACAGCAGCAGCTGCCGCCGCAGGCAGCGGGGGCGCGCTCGGCGGCCCGCCGTCGGCCGCGGCGCTCCAGCCGCTGGTCGCAGGTGGCGGCACCAGGGTGCCGCTGGCAGTGTCAAAGGGGGAGGGCGGGTATGGTGGGGGCGGCACAGGCCGCACACCTGCAGCGCATCATCTGGGTGTATGGGAGCAGCTTTGCTTAAGAGCAGGTGCGGAAGGCAGCGGCTTGGGGCCAGCAGCCCAGAAGCTGCTGCTCTGCACCGGGTGCGCTGCTGACTGTCTTGTGCTGCACCAGCGCACCCTGCTGCGCCCTGCGGGCCTGCTCAGCCTTCTGCTGCTGCTGACCGAAGTCATCTAGCTTGTGTGTGTGGTGCACGCTCTGGGAGGCCTTGGGGGCGGAGCAGCAGCCGCCCATGGCCGTCCAAGGCAAGATTGGAACAGCGAGGAAGCCTGACTGAGCCTGCAGGCTGTCCAATGCGAGGGGCGGCGGCAAGGGAGGACAGCAACAGCGGGGCCACGCCCCAGAGCTCTCTCAGGCAGCACTGATGGCACGCAGTAGGGCATCAAATGTGAGAGGAGGCTCAATTTGAGGAGGAAACCCGCTGCAGAGCGCCACCTGGCAGCTTCTTTCTCATTGAGCAGCGTTTGGCGGAAATGCTTGCAAGTGAATGGTGTTGCAGGTGAATGAAATAGATCATCGAGCGTGAATAAAAACTCAGTGCAGGCTGTCAATGTCAGTCAGGGAGCCAGTCAGCAAGGGAGATGGGGGAGGAAAGCAGTACCAGCCTATCCAGCGGCGCGTGGTTCCCGAAAAGATGGCGGCGCCGGTCGCAACAGCGGAGGAGACACACACGCCTACAGCGCCTACAGCCACGCTGGGCCCCCTCAGTTGGATGCAGTCCACCACTCAAGGTCGCCTGCAGGTGGGGCGGTACAGCTGGTACCCGCTTCAAGTGGGCCGCCGCCGGGCTCTCCGCCTCCGCAGGAGGCACCAGGCCAGGCCCCTCGGCACCCAACACACACACACACAAATGTTGGTCCCCTACCCACTACCCTCCCTGCAGCCACCCAGCCACCCAGCCGCACACGCACCGGATGACTTGTCTCGGAAGGCGCCCTTGGCCCGCCGCCGGCCGTCGGGGCGGTACTGCAGGTCCCACGCGCGGTACCCACCTGCCAGCTCAGACAGCGCGCAGTACCCCGCGCCCTGCAGCGTCCGCGCCGCCGCCGCCACAATGTCCTGCGCAGGGTGCGCGCAGGTTGGTGCGGGTGGGTAGGCAGTGGGGCATGGGGGCCGTGTGCGAGCAGTGCGGCAGCCCCGACGGCCGCCCAACACACACCCACTTGGCACTGTGGTAATGCAGTGTGGCAATGCAGTGGTAATGCAGTGTGGTGCACACCGCAACCAGCCAGCTCGCCGCCACCACCCGCCCACAGACGCCCACCTCTCCGTCCACGGCGCCCGTGCCGTTGGGCGCGATGCTCACAAACTGCTCCTTGCTGACAAAGGCGGCGCTGGTGTGGGCATCCAGGGGCGCTCCCGGGCCGTACAGCACCGCGGGTGGGGCCGCGCCGGGCGGGCCCAGCGCCGCGGCGGCCGCCTCGAGGAAGCCGGGGTTGGGGCGGGTGTCTGGGGACAGGCTGGGGCCGGAGACCAGGACATAGGGGGCGTGCGCCGCGCCCTTGATGCGCCCCCACTCGAACTCCTTGGCGCCACGCACATCCAGCGCCACCACCGCCCGCCGCTGCAGCGCGGCCGCCAGCTCATCAGGGCCGACGCCCGGCAGGCCGCTGGCGGTGGGCGGCGCGGGCGGCGGCCCGGCCCCTCCAGACTCCGCCTCGTCCTCCTCCGAGGCAGCGGCGGAGGAGGTGGGTTCGGCGGGCCCGCCGCCCGCGGCGGCCGCCGCGGCCCACCTCTCCGCCGCCGCCGCGCGCGCCGCGTCGGCCGCCGCGCGCCGCACCGCCTCGGCCGCCTCGGCGGCGGCCACGCGGCGGGCGCCGTCGGCCGAGGCGCGGCGCGCCCAGCGTGCCTGCCGCTCCCCCGCCAGCAGTACGTCCCGCTCCAGGCCCTTCATGTACTGCAGGGACAGGCGGGTGTCCAGTACCGCCTGCTGCTCAGCCGCCAGCTCCTCCCCAGCTGCCAGTGCAGCGGCCAGAGACACCTCCGGCTCCATCGCCGCTCCGTCACGCTCCACAAGCGCGGCGCTCAACCCCTGCATAGGGTATGGAGTTTAAGGTTGGCGCCAGCGGCAGGCAGGGGCGGCGAGGCCGGCAGGCTGGCACAGAAAGCAGCGCCGGCATGCCAGCAGTCGGCCCACGCCGCAAGTGCCCCCCCAAACCAAAACAGCAGCGACGGTCCGCTGGCAAGGGCCCCGCAGCGCACCTGCGCGCCGCCCGCCTGGTGCAGCCAGCGCCGCACCGCGCCGTCCACCAGGCGAGCCTTGATGGAACCAAAGAAATCCATGGGCTGCTCCGGGAAGGCATCCAGGAGCACCTTTACATCCGCCGCGCCCAGCTGCGGGGCAAACAGCGCGCGCAGCGCCGCCGCCATCTCGCCGCGGCTGGGCTCAAAGTAAAACTTGTCCATGCGGCCCTCGCGCACCAGCGGCTGCGCGGTACAGGAGGCGGTACAGGAGGCGGTACAGTGAGGAGGTGAGGGCAGGGGGCAGGCGAGGGCAGGCAGGCAGGCAGCGGTGAGGAAGCGGAGCGGAGGGAGGACGCGGCTGGGGAGGCGAGGGAGCGCAGAACGCGGCATGGGAGGCTGCTGGCGGCTGATCGGCTCCCGCGGCTGCCCTTTCCAGCTCCCAACCTGCCAGTATCCCCGCTGTCTCCTAGCATTCCAAACAAGACACACTGGCCGCCCCGCAGCCAGCCACCCCAACACACCCACAGACCACCACACCGCGCCGCCAGCACCGCCGCCAGCACCCCAGGCCTCCCCCCACATGCTCACCGCATACAGGCAGGTGAGGTCGTTGGCGGTGACGTAGATGGGCACCCGCAGCGCGCGCCGCCGCACCGCCGCCCACTCCTGGCCCGCCGACACGAGCAGCGGGTCGTCGCACAGTGCCATCAGGGAGCCCTGCAGCAGGTGGTGTCAAGCAAGGGTGTGTGGGTGGGCGTGTGGGTGGTTGCACGTGTGTGTGTGTGCGCGCGCGTGTGAATGTGTGTGTTATAGAGACAGTAAGAGAACAATCGAAGGACAGCGAGAGCAGGCACACAGCACCTCGGGACGCCCCAGGGCTCCGGGCGCGTCGTGCACCCTCCCTCCCTCCCCCGCCACCGCCGCCCCGCCGCCGCCAGCTGCCCACCCCCACCTGCAAGTTTTGCGTGTTGACGGTGTTGGCGGTGTTGGCAAACACCCCCACCCCGGCATCCAGGTCGCTGATCACTAAGCAGGTGGCCTCCCCCGTGGACTCAGTGTGCCGGGCTGCAGGGCAGGGACAGGTGCGTGTGTGTGTGTGGAGCGTGTGTGAGGTTCGGCAAGGGCGCGGCGGGGCACCAGTGGCCGGCTCCAAGCCGGCAGCCGCGCCCAGCCACCCCGGGCAGCAGCGGCGGCCGCACCCGCAAACGCGTAGCGCTCGCGCAGGCGCCTCCCCGGCTCCCCCGCCCACTCGTCCTCCAGCTCCCCGGCGCTGAGGCAGACGGGCAGCACGCCCATCCTGGCCAGGCACAGCTCCAGAGTGAAGGTCTTGCCCGCACCCTGCAGGGCAGAGGGCGTGGCAGCAGGTCGGGGGGTGCAAGACGGGGACCACCGACGGCCGGCAGGGCACAGCGAGGGCCAAGCGCTGCCGCCGCGCTGCACTACCCACATCCTGCGCCGCCTGGCTACCTACATCCTGCGCCGCTCATCCCGCTGCTCCACCGCACACAGGCCAGCCAGCCTGCCCCAGCCAACCAGGCGCGGCGGCAGGCACGCACCTTAGGCCCCCAGATGCCCAGCGCCAGTGGCACCTGCCCCGGCAGCAGGCCGCCGCCCGCCAGCGCGTTGCGAGCAAAGTGCACTGCGCGGCAGGAGAAACAGCCACAAGCGTTGAGCACAGGCCGCCACGCTCCCACTGGCTGTGCTTCATTTCACACGGGCATAGCATCCGGATGCCGGCTGCGGTTGCAGGCAGACGGCAGAGCGGGAGGAGCGCGGGCGGCCCCACCACCCACCTGCCACCCGCTCCAGGAAGCGGGGCGAGGGCTCCAGCCCCGCGGGCAGGTGGGCCAGGCTGCGCAGGCCGGTGCCCAGGCGCAGGTCTGGGCCGCTCGCCACGTCAGCATCTACACCCAGCAGCGAGCCCTTGAACAGCTCCTCGCTCACCCCGCTGCGCTGGCTGAGGATGAAGTCCTCGCCGCCCAGCACCGCCACCTCCCGCCTGCAATCGCGCCCCGCCGCAGCGGCCGCGGCCGCCGCGTGCGCCGCGGCAGCGGAGGAGTCTGTGCCGCCGCCGCCGGCGCGCGCCGCCACCCGTCTGGGGGCGGGCGGCTGCCGGGCGGAGCTGACGCGAGTTGCAGATCTGCCACTTGCAAGTGCTTCAGTGTTCGTAGCAGCCGCGAGTGGGTATAGGGGATAAATCGCTGGGCTGGGGGCCCAGCGCATTGAGGGTGGCTGGCTGCTGGTGAAGCAGTCGGAGCCCTGACCTGTCGCGGCGCAACTGTCAACTTACAGCCTTTGATATCAAGCAAAATGCGCGTTCATCCATGCATCATGCTGTGGCCGCCGCCAGCGCGGGCGCCGCTGAAGTCATGATGACTTGTCTGTTCGCTGGCTGTCGGGGCCCTTGCTCATGTGCTGGACGCTTAAATGATCAAATTGTTAGAAGAAGGAAATGATTGCAGTCATGCACAAGCTCAGCTGGGGGAAACGCGGTACCAAGTATCAGGAGGGGTGAGAGGTAAGGAACAGTGCTCGCAGGGCAAAACTCAAGCAGAAGATGTGCTCCAGGGATCCAGAGGTGAGCAAAAGGGTCAATTTGTTGTTCATTGTAGCCGTCCAGGTCAGTAATAGCCACCGTTGTCCACCACCACTGTGTCGCCGCCCCAGCCGCCATTATCCACCACCACTGTGTCGCCGCCCCAGCCGCCATTGTCCACCACGACCGTGTCGCCGCCCCAGCCAACGTTGTTCTCAACGATCGTGGTGTTGTTTTCTGCAGGCAGGGGGTTGTAGGGAGGCCGGTATCGTCAGCATGAGGAAGGGCCGTCAAGGAGGGGTCACGTGACGCGTCAGGCGCCGGCTGGCGCTGAATTGCGGCAGCCAGCAACTTGGCAGCACAGAGGTGCATGCATGCCGCACTGCATCACCTATGATTGTGGGCCCTCCCACCGCGTAGCCAGGCCGCATGGCCTCTGCCAGCAGCACGCCTCCGGCAAACCCGGCGGTCGCTCCCAGCGCCGCCGCGCCGCCGGCGCCCATGCCGCGCTCCTCCCGTATCACAGTCACTGGCTGCTGCACGTAGCCGTAGCCTGGATAGTAGGGCTGCTGGTATGCTGCGGGTGCCGGAGGAGGCACGTAGCCGTACGCTGGCGGCGGCGAGGCGGCATAGCCGTACGCTGGCGGCGGCGCGGCTGCGGGATAGGCGGCCTGAGGGGGGCCCGCATAGTATGCGGTGCGTGCGGTGGTCACCGCCTCGGGCTCGCTAAAGCAGCACCCCTGCCAGATGCAAGGGGACCAGGTGGCATGCTTGTCAGGGGAACAGAGCACTCATAAGCACGCCGCCTGCGCCCCTCCGCCGGCCAAAGCGGCGGACGACGGCCAGCTGGCGGCGGCGGCAGAAGGAAGAGGCTGGCGGCGCAGGGGCGGACCCTGCCACATGCCATTATCACAGCTCCAGGCATCGTTTGCGACCGCAGAGGGCCTCACGCGTGCAGAGCAAACGCGGCAACCGTCACCCGCCAGCTGCACCGCGCTCCCAGCGCGCCCTCACCATTTTCAACGGATCGCTAGGGGTCTTATATCCGATCAATAAACGCTAGAGGTCGAGCTGCTGCAGGGTGTTGGCTTCCGGTTTTGGCGCTGTCCAAACCTGTGTACCCGGAGCTGCTGGGAAGGGTGCAAATAGATATGCCGGGTAGCAATAATAATGCGGAAGGCCGCTGCCCTGCGCTCATGACCGGCAGGGCACCCAGATGGCGCCACCGCCGCGCCTCCAGCTGGCGCCGCACGAAGGGGCGCATAGCTGCCCCAGCCGCCGTCCGCTTACACAGGCCCACCGCCCAGCGAATCAAAACAAGTCTGCCCCGCGCGTGGCCACCGCGTGCTGCCCCAGCTTCACCAGCAGCGCATCCGCCCGGGTGGCGGCCGCCAGGCACGCATCCCGCTCCCCCTGCACCCCCCGCAGCTGCTGCGTCAGCAGCCGCTCGCTCTCCCGCGCCGTCGACTCTGCCAGCTGGAGCCGCGCCGCCAGCGCCGCGCCGCGCTGCCGCTCCACAGACACCTCCTGCTGCGCCAGCGCCAGCTGCCCGGCCAGCTCCTCCTCGGCGGCGCCGCTGCCGGCCTGCCGGCCAGAAGACAGCCACACGCAATGGCACATTCTCAGCCAAAGCAGGCTGATGCATGCAGCACGGTGTGGAGCTGTCGCTGGGCTAGTGGTCCACGGCTGCATCACGCACACAAGCCGAAGCCCGCTACAGTGCCGCTACCCCCCCCCCCCCCCCCCACACACACACACACACACTCTTGCGAGTGCTTGCAGGCTTGCCCACCTGCGCCTCGGCCAGCGTGGCCCGCAGCCGCTGCACCTGGATCTCCAGGCCGTCGCGGTCCCGCTCCGCCTCGCGCCGCACCAGGTCGGTGGCGGCCAGCCTGCGGGCACCAGCAGGGGGTGAGGGGTGCCGTGCAGTGGGGTACATCCTCCCATGTAGGCAGGGGATGGGAGGCGTTGTGTGAGGCGCGCCTGCACCCCTGGCCGGTGACCCGAGGGTCCAACTAGTTGCGGTGGAACGGGGCAGGCACCCACGGGCGGCGCAGGCCACAGCCCACCTGGAAGCGGTGCCGCCCGCCTCCTCCTTCAGGCACTCCACCTGCCGCTGCGCCCGGGACAGCTGCGCGTCGCTCGCCGCCAGCTGGCAGCGCAGCCCGGCGGCCTCCCCTGCGCAGGGCACATGCCACCACGGCGGCACATGCCTCAGCACCTGCCGCAAGCCACGCATCAAGCGCACGGGGCAGGCCAGCTAGAACAGCAGGCACCAGGCGCACCTTCCGCGGCGGCGGCCGCCGCCTCGGCCGCCTGCAGCTGCGTCAGGAGCGCCTCGGCATCTTGCCGTGCCGCCGCGGCCTCCCCCTGCGCCGCCGCGGCCGCCTCCTCCAGCCGCGCCTGCCGCCTGCGCCCTCCCTCGACCTCCACCCGCAGTTCCGCTATCGCCCCGGTTTGCTGCTCCACCACCTCCAGCCACCGCCGCGCCTCGGCGCCCCTGCAGCAATGCAGGCCGGGCCGCCAAAGCAAGGAAGTTGACCTGTGCCGCCAGTAATCCACGCCGCAGCCCAGCATGGGAGGCTCAGCTGCCCCGGCGCCCTACATGCTGCGCATGCACGGCGGGCACAGCGGCCACAGCGGCATGCCGGAAAGCGTTGTAGCAAGGCCATGGCAGCGGAAGCCTGCGTGGCAAGGCCATGGCAGCTCCCACCTCTCTCCCGCCTCCTCCCGCGCCCGGTCCAGCTTGGAGGTGAGCTTCAGGTTCTGGCGCTGCAGGCGGTACAGCGCCAGGCGCAGCTCCCCAGGGTCCTCTGGCGGGGGCTGCAGGGGTGGCGGCACAGGGGTGGTGCCACAGCCGGGGCTTGCGGCAATGTGAGGGGGACACAGGCCGGCCTGCCAGCTCACAGCCTGTAGCCAGGAGAGAGAAACAGCTGAAGCCGGATGCATTGCAACCAGCGCAGCAGGGGGGATCCCTGCTGAGACATCCGACAGCTGCCGGAGGCCTGAACCCTCACCTCAAACACCGCGACAGCCAGGCTGGCCGGGCCGCCGCCCGCGCGCGGGGATGCCACAACCACCGTGGCCCTGCCAGGGCTGTGCGCCCGCCCGCTGGCCCCAGGGCTGCCCCTCCCGTCCCCAGCGGCATCTGGCCCGGCCGTGGGTGCTCGCTGCCGCGGCCGCTGCGGGGAGGCGGGGTCGGGGGCTCGCCGCGCGGGCGGCGCATCCAGCTGCCTCTGCAGGTGCCGGCAGTGGGCGTAGAGAGCCTCCAGGTGAGCCCGCATCTCAGCATTGTCCTGCTGCAGCACCTGGAGCCGCTCCTGCCGCTCGGCCTGGGGAGCGTGCCCCTGAAGAAAGGCGGGGCCTATGGCGCCCCTGCTGCCGCCGCCGCTGCTGCGCTCGCCGCCGCGTGCTGCCCCGGAGCTTGCGGCGGAGGCTCTGTGCGGCTTGGGTGGCGGCGCAGGCAGCGCCTGCTTGGGTGGCGGCGCCTGGCCGGGCGGGCGGAAGGCCTTGATGCGGCCGGGTGCTGCGCCGGGAGCTGTCGACGCCTCCTTGAGGCCCCTGCTGCTGCCCGAGGACGCGTACACCCCGCCCTGCTGCTTGCTGTGGCGCAGCGAGGCGATGAAGTCATCCTTCAAGGCTGCCAGCTCGGTTTCAGCCGCCGCGCCCTGTCGCTTGGCAGCATCCAGCGCACGCAGCAGGATGGGCACCACACGCTGCTGCTGTACGGCTTGCTGCCCATCCAGCACGCCATCTGGAGGCTGCCGCACGTCGTGCTGGGGCCCCGGATGGCGCAGATGCGAGAGGGGCTGGCTAGCGGCGGCAGCAGCGCAGGCGCAGGAGGCGGCAGGCGCCGGCGCTCCGGCCTGCACACGCAGGGAAGCGGCGGCAGTCAGCGGCGTTTTGTCAAAACGTGCAACCCTGCCCTGCAGCTCCTGGGGCGACGCCAAAAGCGGCCCGCTTGTCGGTAACTGACCCTGTGCAGGCAGGCGTCCGCGGCTGAAGCTTGGTGGACGGGCTGGCTGCCGGTGTGCACGGCTTCGATGTGGTGGCATGCTGGGCGCTGCATGGCCCTCCAAGGCTCGGTGCGCTCCGTCGTGGGCACTCACTGCAACTCCCAGCTCTCGCTATGATGGCCACTTACTTGGTGGCGCATGCGAAATTACAATTGGTAGTGCAAAGCGCCCCAATGTACTAGCTTTTTTTCTGCTCCCGCCATGTCAGCGACGCTGGCGGCGCCTCCCGCGCTACTGCTCCTGCACGCTCAGGCCCTCCAGGTTGTCTTCATGGCAGGAATATTCAATCCAGAGGCGCTGAGAAAGTTTAAGATGCAACCAGATGCCGGGTGGCATCTTGGGTGAGATGGGATGGACTGCAGCAGCTTGCGGCGGCAGGAGTACTAGTAGTGGTTGGGGCGCCTGTGCTGCTGTGGGGTAGGAGAGTTACATTGCGGTATTAGATGACGGTTGAGGTAAAAGAAGAGAGGAAGAACTTTGGAAGGGATTCTGGCGGTGTTGAAGAAAAGATGAGGCTCGCAAGCAATATCGCAGCAATGAAGGCAGGGTGCAAGGGCAGGAACTTGCCTTGAAGGGAGGCACGCTGCTGGACGGCAGCAAGGAGAAGAATTCAGCGATGTCGATGTCGTGAAAAGAAGACAGGCGGGGTGAGTAACCACGGCCTCCAGGAGGAGCCAGGAGGGTCCCTGCTGATCAGTTTTGATGGAAGATGGGGGACGAGGTGCGGCCGCAAAAGCAGCGAGGGTGAAAAGTACAGGAAATCAAATCATGTCGAGGGATGGAGCGGCAGGCTCGCCCCCAGGGGAGACAAGATAGACGCAGAGCACCAAGTGGGATGCTGCAGGAAGAAAACTGGTTGCAGAGGGAGGGACAGCTGGTAGGGAAGTGCAAGCAGGCAGGCAGTCGCGGATGGTGAGCGACTGCGCTGCTCTCTACCCGGCGGCAGCTAGCCAGTCAGCCGCTTCAGCAGTGGCCAGCATGCTGGGTCCTTGGGCCCCGCCTTGCCGTTGCAATCATTGTCTATTCCCTTTGAACACGTCTCCAGGGTCTCCTTGCCGCCGGGCCCCTTGCGGCAGATGCTGACAGCCGCGCGGCCGGCTTTCAGCGCCTTCAGCCGCAGCACCACCCCCGCGGCCGCATTCTCCCAAGACTGGTTGACTGCACGCAGCAGCGGCCGTGGGCACAATCATGGGGGTCAGCTGATGGAGTGAGAAAACAGAGGTGCCCCAGCACCGCTGCCCTGGCAGCCGCCTCGATTCCAGGACGCGAGGCCAGGGGCACGAAGCACGCCCCTCCCACTCACCTGCCAGAGCCGCATGCCAGGTTGTCAGCTGCGAGTCGAAGGAGTGCTCGATGGGGGAGGTGTGGATGTGCACCTTGTTGGCAGCGGCGGCAGACAGCAACGCGTCGCCGCCGGCCCGCGTGCGCAGGCTCATGAAGATTGGCTCCCCGCCGCTGAGCCAGGTGGGCTTGATGCGCACGCCGCTGAGCACGGACGTGGCCTGGCTGGCCAGCGTCGTCTCCACCGTCTGCCCCGCCCGCAGGTTGCTGGCGTCAAAGTGCTGCACCGACAGCCAGCCCATCTGCCAGCTCTGCGGCGTGTTGAAGCAGCGCGGCTCGCAGCAGTAGCCCTGCAGCGGCAGTCAGGCCAGGGCGGGTGGGCCACAAGAAGCCGCTGCGGCCCCGGCGTGCGACACCAGGCAACAAGCACTGCCGTCGCGCCCACGTACTCGCAGAAGCAGAAGCAGCCAGCCATGGCGCCAGCACTCACCATGGCCCCCGTCTGGTCTCCATACTCGTCAAAGCTGCCGTCTGGCTTCCACGTGCCGGCGTGCGCCAGGAACAGGTTGTGCCCCAGCTCGTGGGTGATTGCCTCCGGCGTCGTCCAGAAGTCGCCGCCGATCCAGCTGCGGCAGGGGTAGCTGCCGTCGCAGCCCACATAGCCGAGGCCCACAAAGGGGCAGGAGCCAGGCGGGATGAGGTAGACCCTGCGGCGCAGGGCCGGGGGGTGCACGTGTGTGTGAGTGTGTGTGGGGGGGTCTGGCACACAGCGGCGAGCCTGGTGGGTGGCAGGCATGACAGCGCCTTCCCTGCGGGTCAGGCTCTCTGCCACGCCGCAGTGCGGCACATGCGACTGATCCAGTCTGCCCACCGCAGGCGTGCCTCCACCCGCAGGCCCAGGGCCGCCTGCAGCTCACTTGTAAAAGTACTTGGAAAGGTCCACGCCGCGCTTGGCCAGCTCAGCATCCGCCGCGTCGGCCCAGCCGTTGAAGTCGTCGAAATCGCACTTGGAGAAGGACCACGGGATGTCGTTGCTGCGGCAGCGGCAGCAGCAGCCCAGTGGTGAGCAGGGCGAGGGGGCATGGCCGCCGGGAAGGGCAGCAGGCAGGCGAAGCTGCTGGGCGGCAGCGCCATCGGCAGCGGCGCGGCCGCTCTCCCTGCACGATACACTGTCCCCTGGGCACTCACGTGGTTCCGGCGCAGGGCAGCTTCACTGTGTCCGCCACCAGGCTGTTCTGGGTCGTCAGCCGGCTCTTGCCCAGGGAGCACCTGTTGAAGGTGCCGCCCACGGTGGGCCCCCTGGGGTTCATCTCCGCAAACACCGCCCGCCTGACATGGCTGGCGTTGAACTTGGGCAGGGCGGTGTTGAAGCAGGAGGCGCCGGCAGCGTTGACGCCCACAACTGCAGGGCAGCGGCATTATGGGCGCAGGGCTGGCATTGCAGACGCGTGATGTGCCGACAGAGGCGCAGCACCAGCCATATGGTGCCAAGTGAGCTGACGAGGATGCATGCAGCCTGCCATGCGGCTGGTAAGGTCCGCTGCTCTGCCGCCCAATGGACGGGGCAGCTGCATTGCAGGTGCGCACTTGGGATGATGAGCGTTTTGACGTCCTTGACGATCAGCGGGTTGCTGTTGAGCACCGCCGCCGACTGCACAAAGCCGTCGCCGCTGGCAGCCGCCACCTGGACCAGGCCGCCTGCAGCACCAGCAGGCGGCGCAGCATATGGACACAGCTCAGACACGGGCAGCAAGTTGACCTGAAAAAAAGAGCACGCTGGCTGCACACGCACGCCATGTGCGGCATGTTGCAGGAGCAGCGGCATGGCAGGCAGGGTGTGGAGGGCGGATGCCGCCAGGGTGGCGATATCAGGTGAGGGTCCCCGTGCGGGCCGGGCCGGCTTACCCTCCAGCTTGGGCTTGCCGACCGGGCCTTGGCTGACTATGTCAAGGGACGAGCCGTAGAAGCAGAAGGAGGAGAGGGCGTGCGGCAGGGAGGAGGCGCCCGCGGCACGCACGCCGCCAGGGCCGCGGCTCAGCCACAGCCCCGTCACGTTGAGCCGCATGCCTGTGCGCATGCCGTGGAAGGCATTGTGCTCCTCTTCCCTCACCACGTGCACCCGCTCCCCCGCATCGGTGTGCAGCAGCAGCGCCCTGCAGAGACGCGGACATGTGGGCGGGTCATGGTCGGCAGCCTGCGGCGACGGTTGAGCGGCGCACACCGCAGCGGCGGCAGCGGCGGCAGTGGTGGCGCTGAGGCCGGGCTGGCCAGGGCCTAGTTGCAGACTCACTTGCGAGATGGGGTTCCTGGGTGGTAATCATGCGCCAAGAGAACCGCTTGGCCTGCAGGTTGTGGGAAAAGGGAGGCGGTGTCAAGCTGGAAAAGGGAGACGGTGTCAACGCTGGCGGGGGAGGCGGGTCTACGCGGGACGAAGGGCAAGCCGGCGGGGGCTTGTAGTCGCTTGCAGGCCCCCCAGAGGAGCGCGTTCAAAGCGTTTGGAGGGAGGGGAGTGGGGGGGCACTTGTGCGGCCGCCATCATCGTCCGGATACTCGGGAATGACCACGCTGCAGGCCCTCGCCGCGCTCACCTGATATCGTCTTCTTCCTCCCCGTCAGATGCTGGCGGGCGGCCCCGCAAAGCTGCGCCGCCAGAAGGAGGCTTACGAGCTGCACTAGCGCCCTTCCCGCGCTGGCTGCCCGCCGCTCCATGAATAGCCGTGGCACCACCGGCGCGATGGCGGGGTGCAAAGCAGGCGCGGGCTGGGGAGGAGGCAAAGTGCCTTGAGGCGCTGGGGCGCAGGGCGTGGGGGTGCCGCCCTTGCTGGCTCAATCGTTTGCCTTGCAGCTGTTGGAGAGAGCTAACCACAGAAGAGAACGAGCGTCCCGATGTGCACCATTACGAACGAAAATCACGTCAAGTGTTCCGGACGGGACACACACACCTAAGTGAAAAGCGTCTTTCAGCCTGCCGCCGCTCCACGCAGCGCCTGTCGACCTGAATCAGTAATTTGGAGGCAGCCATGGGGCGGCCGCCCCGCTGCACCCCAGGCGCCTCCCTCGTGACGATGGCGCTGGTTCTCGCCTCCTTCAGCACCTGCCAGGCGTTCAAACCGCACTGCCAGTGAGTGTGGAGCGCGCAGGGCAACAGCACCCCCTGCGGCCTCAGTGGGGCGTGTGACCCCTCCCCGCCGCCGCTGCCGCCGCCGCCGCCGCCGCCCTTAAGTGCCCCCTCTGCAAGCACATGCGCTGAACGCTGGCTGCCGCCCCGCCGCGACCCAGCCATCCCACCCATCCACTTACCGGCACACCCATCCTGTTGTTTGCAGCTGGTCAGGCATGATCATTGTGCCTTTTGTGCCCCAGACCGACCTGCACCTGCTCAAGCACCGGCTCATCACGGGCTGTGATGACCAGCGGTTGGATGAGGAGCGGCGCGGGCACTGCCGCCTGTGCGAGGCCCAGGCCAGCCGCAAGGCCTGCCTGGCCACCAAGGCCCAGCACTGGCACGGCGACACGGGTGCGTGCAGCCGGCATGCGGCCGAGGGCGGCGCCGCCAGCGGCACGCCGTGCCTGCCCGCCTGCTCAGCGCTCTCCCCATTCGCCGAGTCCTCGAAACATTCGCCGAATCCTCGGATGCTGCCTGCACCTGCTGCTGCTGCTGCTGCTGCTGCAGACGTGGAGACGTGCGCTTGGCAGACGCAGGATGCGCTGGGGCAAGATGTGTATGAACTCGGCTTCACGCTGGGGTGAGCGATGCACGCCTTGCTCCCCAGCCGGCCTCAGGCCCAGGCTGGGCGTCCATCACATCGCTGGCCAGCCACCACAGCCTTTCTGTAACCAGCAGCAACACACTGCAACCGCGCTGTCCCAATCTGCCGCTGCCTGCCTGGTCTGTTGCTGCTGCAGAGCCAATGTGCCTTTCATGTTCAGCTCGAGAATCCGTGAGTGCCGCCAGAGAGCAGCCTGACGCACGCCGATGCAGGCTGCAGCGATGGCTGATGCTGATGCCATGCCCGCTTGGCTCCCTGCTGTGCGGCCCTGCCCCAGAGGCGCATGCTGCTCTGCCTTCACGCGTGCTTGCTTGCGGCGGCCCTCTTACCCGCGCCCCGGCGCCGCCCTGCTCTGCCTGGCCGCCCCCGGCGTGCGTGTAGATGCAGCAGGCAAGGACGACGTGTGCAGTACGCGTCGGCAGTACACCGTGCACAACACCTGGGGCTACTCGGCCGCCTACTTTTCGGTCTACGGCGATGGGGACCTGCCGGATGGCAGCCCGCTGCCAGACGGGATGCGCCCCGATGCCAGCTGCGTGGTCAAGCCGCCGCGGAGGTCGTGCACCCTGCGCTTCCACCACACCCCGGACATGCAGTGGGAGATCTCGTCTCGAGACATCTGGACGCAGGTGGGCGCCTTGTCCGGCCGGCGGCCGCGGCTGGTGCGCTGGCAGCCCAGCGCCCGCAATCCCGCGTGCGCTGCAGGGCAGGCTGCTGGGGCCGGGGCAGCAGCATGCTCGGTGCCGCCTCGTCTCGATGGCCTGCCGCCGTTGCCGCTTTCTGCCTGCCGCAGAACCCTGGCATCATCAAGCGGCTAAACGCCACCGGCAACGAGGATTGCTTGTTCAATGCCAGCCAGCCGTGCGTGGCAGCCAAGCCGCCCTTTCAGTACACCGTCAAAATCACTGGTGGGTGCCGCTGCCCGGCCAGGGCTGTGCTTGCCGCCACCGCCACGCCGCCTGCCTCCCGCACGCCCCCACTGAACCTGCTTGCCCCCAATGCTACTCGCTGCAGCGGAGAAGTGCCACAACCGCAGCGGCAACCACAGCGCGGTGATTCAGTGCGGCGGGGCGATACCCATGGGGCAGCCAGGCTACCTGCTCTACCCCAAGGCGGTGGCTGCCACATACCGGGAGGTGCTGTGGAGCCTGGACGGTGAGCCTCGCCACCTGCTGCTGCCGCCACGACTGCCGGCTACCTGCTGTGCTTGCGATCCTGCCGCCGCTGGTACTGCTGCCTGCCGATCCTGCTGCCGTTGGTACTGCTGCCTGCCGCAGGCCTCAGGCACGCCAGGTGGAATGTGAGCTCCAAGGTGCCGCTGCTGGCCATGGTGCTGCCTAAGGCGGTGGAGGAGAAGGTCTGCCCGCCGTGGCTGGAGAAGACAGGTGCGGCGGTAGTGCTGCGGGGCGCGAGTGCGCTGGCTGCTGGAATAGCTTGAAGCTGGTGTGAGTGAGCTGCCAGCTTCTCCTGCTTCAATTTTGGCCCCACTGCGTGCCTGCGTGCGCTTACATGCCTGTCCAGCGTTTCAGCAGCAGGTGAGCAATCACCACCTGGCACCCCTTGCATCCTTGCAGTGTGTGATTTTCAGGGGGTCGCCAACCAGGCCATCGCTGGCACCTCTTGTTAGGGCAAGAAGTGTACTGGGCGGGTGCACACGAAGCCTGGAGACAAGTGAGTCGGCAGCGTTGGATACCCCACAGGCCGCCCATGAGGCCATGCGGCAGCGTTTCCAGGGTGTTGACCGCCGCCACCCGGCTGAGCCGGGCAGCGACACCGCGCCTCGTGTGGAGCCGGTCGCTCCTCCGCCCCTCGCTCTCACGCACCCATGACCTTTGCCCCTCCTGCCCCGCCCGCCTGCCCCCCCCCCACCCCCCCCCCACCCCACCCGCACAGGCTGGTGTTTGTGGTCACTTACCCTCGCTTCACGGCAGCAGAGAAGGTCTTACCAGCCCAGACGCCGCCCACTACAGCCGTAGTGGACCTCCACGGTGGGAGCCTGCCCGCGCGCAGCTTGGCCGCTGCTCATGCTTTCAAGTCACACGGACGGCAGCAGGCTCCTGGCCTTTCGCAAGGGTGCCTGCTGAGAGCGCTGCCCTGTGTCATGCTGCTGCAGGCTGGAGATGATGACTGCCAGTGGTGCTTTGCCCTCCGGGCTGGCATCGCCCGCATCCTCACCTGAGGAGCCCCACTGACCACTACCCATGCCTTCCACTTCTTCTATTCTCTATTTTTTGGTGTATCGAACTGCACTTTTAAGAACTGCTGCCCGCCTTCCCGGAAAGGGAGCATACACATGTTGCTCTGCCTCTGCCCGCGCTTGCTTCTGGCGCATGACCGCCAGATGCTTCCTCCACACATCATATTGACTGCGACCGAGCTTGTAGCTTTTCCAATGGATACATTCTTGCTGATAATCAGAACAACACAACTGCATTTAAGGGGCGCATCAAGCCTGCGGCAGGGGCCTGCGGCTGGCCCATAGGGGCTGCGGCTCTGCAGCATCGAACAAGCGTTATGAGCAGCATGCAGGGGGGTGGTCGGGACATTGTAGACGAATTCATTGAATCTACGAGCATTGGTGTGCAAAATCAACTCTGGCGAGGGGAGAATGCAAGACATCCAGCCTACCTGAGTGAGGGAGGGCGGGAATGGCGGCGGCAGCACGTCGCGCACGCTGTGCCAAAATGCAGCCAATAAGAGGGCTTGCAGACTCATCACGCACGCGATCTGCGTCATCTTTGTTTTGATATGAGCCTTCAAGCCTTTGTTGCGCTTGAAGCCCACCTCTGCCCTTGCTCAGCCCATTGGTGCTCCCCGCTCCTCAGCTCACAAACACTAACGCAGCCAGGGACAACAGCGACCTTGCCAGGAGGCACGCAATGCCGGCGCCCTGCCGCGCGCTCCTGGGTGGCCGTGCCGCCACCGCCGCGGCCACGCCGAGCCCTGCGCCCCAGACCGCCCGCCTTTCCAACGGCCTGCTTGTGCGCTGCGTGAGCAAGCGGGACGTGGCCTTCCTGGATCAAGAGATCTACCAGCGGCACGGTTCGGGCGGCTGTGTGTACCTGCGGCACGGCATCCAGCTGCCGCCCGGTGGCGTGGTGCTCGACGTCGGCGCCAACATCGGCCTCTTCAGCCTGCGGGCTGCGCAGGAGCTGGGGCCTGGGGTGCGCCGCCTGCTGCCTTGCTTGTCGCTGTCGCTGTTGTTTGTGTCACGTCCACCCGGCTGCGGCTGTGCACTGGGAAGCGTGGCGGCGGCGGGCTGCCTACCATCTCCCGACTCTGCCTGTGCCGGGCCGCGGGGCCGCTCCTGCAGGCGCACGCCCTTCTCTTCTGCGTTTCTCGAGATGCTGCGAGCCCACACCTCCTCCCTCACATCCCGATGCCACCCCCGCTCTCTGTGCAGGGCCTGGTCATCTCCTGTGAGCCCATGCCTGCCACCTTTGACTGCCTGGCACACAACGTGGCCGCCCACCGGAGCTGGTGGCGGCGGCAGCGGCAAGGCCCGGCCGCGCGCGGCGACGCGGGGGCCGCCCCCATCCTTGCGCTCAACGTGGGTGTGGGCAGCGGGCAGCAGCCCAGCGCCACCTTCACCTTCTACCCGCGCGCCGCGGGCTGGAGCAGCATGCGGCCGGCGGAGGGGGATGTGGAAGCCGACATGGGAGCCTTTCTGGACCAGGCACTGAGCTCCCGCGGCGCCTCCACGGCGGCAGGCCTGGACCCAACCACCGCCGCCCTGGGCCGCTGGCTGCGCTCCGCGGCGCCGCGCTGGGCGTACGCCGCCGCCTGGCGCCTCGCCGTGGCACGTATGCTGAGCGGCGCGCAGCGGCTGGCGTGCCCGCTGGTCAGCGTGTCGCAGCTCATCCGGCAGCACCGGCTGGCCGCCGTGGACCTGCTCAAGGTGGATGTGGAGCGGGCAGAGCTGGAGGTGCTGCGGGGCGTGGAAGGTGAGGCATAGCGTGGGGGAGCCGGGGAGGCACGCGGGGCCTGCCCGCGGCTGCCTGCCGACTGCGGTTGGATGGTAGTGCGGCCCGGCAGCCGCCCCCTGCCGCACCACTGCTGCATGCACACACACCGCCTGCCTGCCTGCCTGCCTCCCGCCGCCGTCTGCCCCGCCCGCAGGCTGCCACTGGCCGCTGGTGCGGCAGGCGGCGCTGGAGGTGCATGCTGCGGATCTGGAGGAGGTGGTGGCCCTCCTGCGCCGCCAGGCCCGCTTCAGCAGCGTGGTGGTGGAGCAGGAGGCGGCACTGGCGGGCACCTCGCTGCACGCCGTCTACTGCCGGCGGTGAGAGGGGGGGTGGAGGCGCCTCCTCCGGGAGTCTTGTGGGGTGGTGCACTGCCAAGGTGGCACTGCACGGGTCTGGCGCCTCGCTTGCCTCCCCCCCTGTTCCCATCCCCTAGCCCTTCTGTACAAAAAACTGCCGTGTACAAAACTGCGCGTTACATTCAAAACAGGCAAGCTGCGGGCTCGTGTGGTGCAAAACATCCTCTGAGGGGAGGCCTGAATTCCTGCTGGCGGGGAGGGGCGCCCGCGGCGACAGCAGGTGCGCTGAAAGGGTGGGGAAGCGGCTGAGGAGGCATCTGGTTTGGGAGGGATCAACAGGCAGTGCTCGCTCAGCAGGACGAGGCGGGGAGGCTGGGGGGCAGAGCGGCCGTCAGGCCGCCCGCATGCACCCGCCAGGCCGTGCTGAGGGAGAGCGAACTGGGAATGAAAGCCGGACCAGCCGACGGCGCCAACGTCAGGACGCTCTCCTGCTCTGCGGCGCCGCCCAAGCTGCCTCGCGTCCGCCCTCACTGCTGCACGGCGCGGCGGCAGGCCTGCATGTTGTCAAAGTACTGCTGGCAGGCGCCCATGTCGCCCTGCGCCCAGCTCATGCAGTCGGCAAAGGCCTTGGCCTGGTCCGCGCACGGCTGCTGCTCCCGCACAATCTCCTGGCAGGGGTGGAGGGAGGGAGGAGGGGAGGGGGGATCAAGCCAGCGGGTGACAGGGATGCGTGGCGGCATGCTCTCCAGCACAGGTGAGGCAGCCTGCGCCAGAGTGGCCGCTGGGCCAGCCCTTCGCCTGTTCTCCCAAGGCAGGGATGCTGCGCTGACAGCTGGTGGCGCCCCTTTGCGGCGCATGCGCCTCACCTGCGCTGCCTCGGTGGCTGCCTGCGGCTCGGGGTGGCGGCTGCCCAGGACAGAGTCCACTGCAAAGGAGGAGGGACAGCCAGCAGCAGGGCCACCAATCAACAGCAGGGACACCAATCAACCCCAGCAACCCGCAGCAACTGAAATGGAAACCTGAGCAGCCGGCGCTCGGCCGGGGCGGCCCGGCCAACCGCCAGCAGCTCGTGCCCTGCTCGTCGGATGTATTCGTGCAGCGCTCCAGCTTGCGCGCTCACCTGCCCGGTGCGCCAGCGCGCTGCCTGTGCCCAGCGCCATGCCCTGCGCCACCATGCCGCCCAGGCCCGCCATCATGCCGCCGCCCTGCTGCGGCATGGCCGGCGGCGGGGGAGCTGCAGGCAGGCAGGAGGGTGCGGCAAGGGCGAGTTCAGCTGCTGTCGCGCAGGCTCCAGGCCACCTGTGTGGCTAGGGCCTGGCGCTGGGAGCCAACGTGGTGGTGCGGTGGCGGCAGCGGCAGCGGTGGTGGCATCTCCACGGGCTCCCTGCACGCGTGCTCGCCCCCTGGACGCCCCGCCAGCCTCACCGTGGTGCGGCATTGGCGGTGGCGACTGGGGAGGCGCCTGGCGGGCCTGAGTCTGGAAGCCCTGCGACTGCGGGCGGCTAGCGGGGCGGGGCGCCGGGCGGGGGGCTGCAGGGGGCAGGCGAGGCGGGGTGTCGGACTGGGAGGGCGGACGCCGCGTGTAGGCTGCCAAGGGGTCTGCCCAGCACCCGCACACCCACCTGAGCGGCTCCTGGAGCGTGCCATTGTGCTTGTCTGGGCGGACGTGGATTGCAGGGCAACAGAAAAGATGCTGGGGAAGGCTGGGGAGGCCCAGAGGAGGCGCCGAGGCCCCTGGAAAGAAGCCAGATGCAGAACCCAAGCCCCAAAGGGGCTGCCCGCACGCCCATCGACGCCAACCACCGCGATCACAGACAGTGGAAGCCGCCGCCTGGACGCAGGGGAGCTGCAGCACGGCATCGCCTGGGCACCGCTGGCAGCAGGCGCCTGGCAGGCTTGAGAGCCCGGGCGCGGCTCTGTAGCAGCAGCAGCAGCCATGTCGTCGTCCGCAGCGGCCTCCGCCTGTGAGCCCAGCCGCCGAGATGCTACCCTCTGCCCTCTCTTCCCCTGCCTGCTGCTGCCCTCCCCGCTGCCCGCCCCTCGGCAACCTCCCCAGCACCCGGCACGCGCCGCAGCCCGCGGGTCGGCCCGCTGAGCCGTGGCGCCGGGGCGGGGCGGGGCAGGGCGGGCGCCGCCTACCCACCCACGTCTCCTCGCCCCTCCCTGCCTGCCTGCCGAGTCCACGCGCTTGCCCAGCGCCTCCCCACTCACCCCTGCGGCGCGCTGCTGCTTCCCTGCCGCCGCAGACTGGCGCGTGGCGGGGATGACGTACCTCAAGTACTCCAACTTGTGCGCCGACATGGTGCGTGCCGCGCTCAAGGAGCCGGTCAAGGCCAAGGCCAAGGCGCGCGAGATCATCTACTTCCGCCAGTCCCTGTGGAAGGACGGCGTGCCACAGAAGCAGGGTGAGGCCGCCTGGGGCGGGCGCGCGTGTTTGGACGGGCCTGCCGCGGCTCGGTGCCGGGGGCGCGGCTGGTGCTGTAACTGACAGCGTTGGGGGATGGTGTCGTGTACCGCTGCCGCGAGGCACAGCCCCTGACCGCCTGCCTGTCCCGCCTGCGGCTCGCCGCCTGCAGTCATCACCGACACCACTGAAGGAACGGCTGGCAAACTATCGTGAGGGGGGCGGCTGCCGGCGCAAAGTAGACCCCAGCCGCAAACCTGGCTGGCCTCAGCGGTTGCTGGAGCTGCTGGCGGCAGCAGCACAGAGCGTCTGGCCCCTGGGCCTGAACGGCACTGGGTCAAACGGCGGCGGGCGCAGCAGCGGGCGCGGCACAGGGCTGACGCCCTGCGCGCCTGTTGGCTGCCCGGCGCTGTTGCAGCGGCAACGGCCACCAGTTGCCCTCACCCCCTCGCCCCATCTTTTGCTACCTGCTCCTCTCTCCCTCTCTTTCTAGTCAGCTCCGTTTTGGCACTGCCCCTCACCACAAATCACACCGCACTGCTGCTGCATCCACTACACACAAATATCCAGCCGCTGAGGCCCCCTGGCCACTGCCGGTGGTGTAACCGTTGCAGCTCTTGGGAGTGTGTGGGTGGATGGAGGCTTTGCAGGCTTCACAGCACCTGTGTTATGTGCTGCTGAAACTGTTCAGCAGCTGGCAGACAGCCATGCATCAATCACGTTGCCACGCAGCGCTCCAGCCCGCTGGCGCTGCCCTTGCCAGCGCCTCTTTGCCATTGCCTTTGGCACTGCTCCCATGGGTGAATGCAAAAACTTGCAACAAGCAGCATCTCGGTGCAACTGGGCTGCGGCCCTTCACTTCATGCAAGCGCAACCGCCTGCGACGGCCAGGCCCACGCGCTGCCTACGGCATCCCCCGCTGCTGCTGCTGCTGCTGCAGGCGGCTAGCCTCGGTGAGGAGACCCACCAGCGAGGCCACCTGGCCGCCCGCCCCTCCTGCCAGCGCCTGCTGCTGCTGCGCCTCCGCCGCCGCTGAAGCTGCCACTGCCACCGGTCTGGCGGCCGCAGGTCCGCCGCCTGCCTGAGCAGGCTGGCTGGGCAGCTCCGCCCCTTGCTCGCTGGCCTGCGCCTGAAGCAGCAGGTCCTGCAAAGCAGGTGGGGGAGAGGTGGGGAGAAAGGGGCAAGAACATCAGCTAGGGAGCTGTGAAGAGTGGGGCGAGTGCACCAGTGCACGTACGGACCGAACACCCAGCAGCCACCCCTCAACCGACGGTGGCGGCAGCAAGGTGTGACCCCGCACCACCACACAGCAGGCCAGCCGGCCAACCCACGTGCAGCTGCTTGCTGTGTCGCCGCTCCTCGGGCGACAGCTGCTCCCACTGCTCCCGCAGCAGCAGCGCGGTGAAGGCAGACACCTGGCGGGGCTGCGGCGGCGGCGGGCGGGGGTGGAGGCAGGTGGGGTGTGGGAGGGGCAAGCAGCGGACGCGGCAGGGAGCCGGCACAGCCAGCAGCGCTGCGCAGGGCCGAACCAAGAGCTGGCTGTCCAAGCGCGGGGTCCCAGCAGCAGCACGCACGGGGGGCAGCTCTGGGAAGGCGTGGGTGCGTGGCCAGCCCGCTGCCGCCGGCACCAGCGAGCCTTGCAGCACCAGGATGGCATCAGCGTCCGCCTGCACCGCGGGAGTCACCGCCTCCGCCTGCAACAGCCAACGGCCGGCCACGGCGCGGGATTCCGATTGAGAGGGTGCGTGGCAAGGCCACGGCGGAACGGCGCGCCTCCTCAACAGAGGGAACAGGCCCGAAACACACGCACACAACCAGAGGGACGGAGGGGGGACGTAGGCAGGTGGCAGCAGCACCACCACCACCACCACCACCACCACCAGCCGGCAGCGCACCGAGTGGAAGCAGCGGAAGCGGAAGTGGCCTCCCTCCAGGTTGACCACCAGCAGCGGCGTGCGCTGCGCCTGCTCAGCCGCCAGCTCAGCGCGCAGCAGCGCCGCCTCCACGATCCGCTCCCGGCTCCACGGCGTGCCGCCGCCGCCGCCGCCCAGCGCGCTGGCGGGCTGCAGCAGGGCGCGGCGATGCGTGTGTGAGCGCATGCGCGCCTGGGGTGCGCGTTGTGAAGGCAGGGTGCGCATGTGGTGGCGGCGGCAGCAAACATGTGTGGGCACCCCGCACAGGACGGCTGTGTATGTCGGCGCACAGCCGCGCAGCAGCAAGCGGCAGCCAGCAGCCAGCAGCCGGCAGCGCCACACTGTGCATTTGTGAGTGCAGGGGCCCACCAGCGGGAAGCCGTCTGCCGGCGGCGCCTGCACCACCCTGGCGGGCACGGGCAGCGCGGCGGCGGCGCCGGCCGCGGCGGGCTGCAGCTGCTGCTGGTGCTCGTCCAGCCGGCTGGCAAAGGCGCTCAGCCTACAGGAGGGGGGAGAGGGGAAGGCGTGGCATTCATATTAGTTTTGGTATTCGAACCCTAACAAGCAGCCGGCATTCGGTGATTCAGAGGTGGACACGCAGGCAGCGGCGGGGACGACCCAGAGCAGCACTTTGGACAGCTGCCGGCTGCCCACGGTGCAGCTGCTGGCAGGGCTGGCCTTCCTGCTGGCCCCGCAGCCGCAGCACGCAGCGGCAGCCGCCGACTCACTGCGCCAGCAGCTCCTGGGTGCCCCCCGTAGCCCCTTCCTCCGCCAGCCGGTGCCGGCCCTGGCGCTGCCGGCCCTCCAGGGCTGCATGGGACGCGGCCGCCTGGCTGCCCCTGCCACCATCCGCCTCAGTCGCCACCGCCATGATCTCCAGCTCCTGAGCGGGAGGGCACAGCCGGCACGGGGCCGCTCTGGAGTGAGCACAGCAAAGGAAGGAGGGAGGGGAACACAGGCTGCCCCCGGCAGCACAGCCACCCCCGGTCCGCCCTCGCACACCGCGCGCGTCAGATGGTGCAACACCACATACGTTGCCAAGCTCCTCCTTTCCTCCGCTCCTGTTCTCCTCCACCCTTGAGCCCCTCGCTACGCAAGCAGCCAAACACACACACACACACACCTCATCCTCGTCGTCCGCAGACTCGTTCTCGCCGCCGCCGTCCTCGCTGTCGCTCCCCGCCGCGCCGCCGCCGCCGTGGCGGCCGCCGCGGCCGCGACCGCCGCGGCCGCGCCCACGCCCGGTGCCGCCGCCTGCACGCACGAGCAAAAACACAAGGCAGCAGCGCAGCGAAGCTCAGCCAGGCAGCCAGGCAAGGGGAGCGACTCGCGGGGAGCAAGCCAGCCTCCAATGCCAGCACCAGCCAGCCCATGCGCTGGACAGACCCCCGGCGGCCAGTGCCGCTGCATGCCGGCAAGCTCTGCCAGAGGCAACCGTCGGCAGCACGGCCGACAGCCGGCGTGGGGGCGCTTGCCTCGCGGCGGGCGGTGGACGTTGAAGGGTGCGGGCAGGTGGTCCACATGCTCGGGGCAGGCCACCAGGTAGGGCTCCACCTGCGGTACAGGTGGCGGTACAACGGTACATCAGTACATCAGTACCGGGCAAAGCGGTGCCAGGGCTGTCCGCCTAGCAATAGGCCAGGCTGCGAGCCTCCCCACGCTGCAGCACGCCGGCTGGTGGGTAGTCAGCACAGCGCAGCTCGGCGCGGTGCAGATTAATCTGTGCACACAACGCAGCCCACAGCTGCCGGCCCACCTGCAGCAGGCAGTTGTACTTGCGGGCGCAGGCCAGGTGGTAGGAGGCGCGGCAGGTGCGCTTGAAGCAACCCAGGGTGGCGCCCTTCCTGCACGGCGGGGCAGCAAGAGCGCCAGCACAGAGGGTGGCGGTTGGGGCAGGAGGGCTGGAGCTTGCTGGGAGCGAGGCTGGGGCAGAGAGGCGCCGACTCGACCAACCAACAGACACACAGAAAAGCGAGCAAGCAAGCAAGCAAGCAGGCAGTGGCATGGACGCCCCGCGCAGCCCTCGGCTCCAGGCCATTGGAATCAAGGATGACCGCCACTCACTCTCCGCAGTACTTGCAGCGCAGCATGCGGCCGCGGCGCACCGCGTCCCGCATCCCCTCCAGCCGGTTATTGCCCCTGCGGGGCAGGCAGGCGCCGGGCAGGCGGGTGAAGGTGTCGTGCTGGTGGTGGCAGAGAGGTTGCACTGCAGCGGCCTTCTTGCAGCGGCCTCCTGCGCTGTCAAACCCCGCCGCCGCCACCACCTGCATGCCACACACAGCATAAACCACACACCACCACCACCACCCCAAGGCGCTCACTCGGGGTCATAGACTTCGGGGCTCCAGCGGGCGCACTGGTCATGCAGCCAAGCGTGAGCCACGGCTGCAGCATGGGCGGCATTGGGGGGGGAGGGGGTGCGCTGACACTTAGCAGGACCGGAGGTTCCAGAGGAACTGGCACCCCTCAAGCCTGGCCTGCTACCCAGCGCACAAAACAATGCGTCGGCAGCGGCCCTGCCGCCGCCGCCCGCAGCAGCTGCCAAGCCCGGGAAAGGAGGGCCCTCACCACCACCCGAGGAGCGGCAGCAGCGGCGTGGCCGCCACCAGCACCACTCCTCAGGCTGCTCTGCAGGCGGGCCCCTCTCACCAGTGGTACGCGCGAGTATCATGGGGCCCAGACCGACCTGGCTGCGCCCTCCCAGCCCGCGGTGAGCCTCAGGGATGTCGTCTGGCGGAAGGAGTGGGCGGGTGGTTGGCAGGCATGGGGGCAGGGGGTGCGCAAATGAGTCCTCCAGCCACAGGGCAGCAGGCGGGAGCCACCCCCGGCAGGCAGGCAGGCAGGGGTGGGGGTCTGCGCTGCCACACGGCGAGGCAGGTGCACAGACAGACCGCGGCAGGCAGGCGTGGTGCGGCACGGCACAAAGAGGCGCGGCGCCCGGGCGATTCACCCGTCTCGTCGCCTCGGCACAGCGCGCATTTCGTGCCCGCAGGCGCCCCCTCCACCTCCAAGCGCTGGAACCGCAGCTCCGCCGCCGCGCGGCGCCCGTCCGCCTCTGCCGCTGGCCGCGACTCGCCCTCCTGGTGCAGCTGGTGGGAGGACTGGGCGGCCGCCAGGCCGGCGGCGGTGGTACCGCCGGTACCGCGGTGCGCCGCCGGTACCGTGCCGCCGGCCGCCAGCGACAGCGCCCCTGTGGCCGCCGGCGTGTCCTGCCGGTTCTCGGAGCTCGCGCCGCTGGCAGCAGGCAGCAGGCCGCCCTCGCCCAGCCCAGACGGGTAGCCAGCCTCGCCCCGGCCGCCGCCGCCAGACGACAGCGGCGCGGCGGCGGCGGCGGTGCCGCGGCGAGGCACCACCCCGCCCGCCACGGGCACCAAGCTGCCGGCAAAGGTGACGCCTCCCAGGGCCACCCGCACCTCCAGCCCTAGGCTGCCATCAGAGTAGCGCTCCACAAACCAAGTGGAGGCGTCCCGCCTGCAGGACAGGCAGGACCAGGGGCGGGACCAGGGGCAAGGGCAGGGGCAGGCGGAGGGGAGCAGGGGTGAAACAGCAGGCAGGCAGCAGCAGCGGCGGTGCCAGCAGCAGCAGCAGCCACAGCAGCAGGCGGGAGATGCCGTCGGGGCAGGGGAAGGTAAACAAGCAGCAGGCAGGCAGGCAGGCAGCCGGGCGCGGCGCGGCGCTGCGGGCGCACTCACGCAGCGCCGGTGGCCACCGCCGCCTCCAGCTCGGCCGCCAGGCGCGCGCCGCCCACCATGCCTCCGCCCGCCAACTGGGCGGAGGAGCGGCGTCCCAGCATGAAGCGATCTGCAGGCAGGGGGAGGAGGGGGAGAGCAGGTAGGGCAGGCGGGCAGGCAGGCGCGGTCGGCATGGCGCAGCATGGCGCAACGGTGCCGGCTGCCGGCATACACACGGGCTTAGGAGGCACCTGGAGACAGCACAGAGGCTGCCAGCGCAGCCCCCTCTCTCTCCCCCTTGCCTCTCTGCCCCTTCACACACCACGACACCACATCCCCGTGCACCACGGCCACCCACAGAAACACACCCTCACTCCCACACACATACACACACATACTACCAATAAAACCGACACCCTCACCTCTGGCATCATCCTCGCCAAACTGGCGCTCCACCAGGGCCTTGCCCCCCAGCACTGCGGTACAGGCAGTACAGGCAGCACAAGTCGGCGTCAGGCCAGGCAGCAAGGTTTGGTACGCCGGCGGTCCTGGCACACCACCACACGCGCTGCGCTGCTTTGGCAGATGTGGCAGGTGGGGGAGGGGCAGCACGGCTGGGGCGGGGGGGGGGGGCGACAAGGCGGGGGGTGGACGAGAGAGGGGATAGGGGTGGGGCAGGGGCGGCGTGGGTCAGGCACCCCAACACTGGGTGTCACACTCGCCTGCGTTGGGGTCAAAAGTCTCCTGCAGCCAGCGCGACTGCTTGCGCTGGCGCTGCTGCCGCCCCGTGACCCGTCGCCCGAACGTGGTCCGCAACTGCGGCAGGGGGTGCCAGGGGAGGGGCAGAGGCACACACAGTGAGGGGAGTCGTACAGTAGGGGGGTGCTCCTAGAGGGGTATGCGGGGTGGCCCTGCCTGGTGCTGCCGTTCCAATGCGCCCTTGCCCTGCTGCGCCCCTGCCCTGCCACCGCCTCCGCTCAGCCTCTGCTCCGCGACAGCCTCTGCTCCTGCCTCCCACCCCGCCACCCGCAGCCCAGCCCCAGCCCTCCCAGCCCTCCCGCCCCAACCCCCGGAAGACCCACCCTCCCGTAGCCAGACGTCGGCGGTGGCGTCCCGCGGCAGCGCCTGCGCTTGGTCCTTCTCAAAGCCAGCAGCCAGGGCGAGTGCCTCCGCCTCGGGAGGGCCCGGCAGCGCCGCCAGCGGCTCCTGTGCCTCTGCGCTGGGCCCTGCGGGCAGGCGGGCAGGCAGGCAGGCGGGCGGGCGGGCAGGCAGGTGGGCAGGTGGGCAGGTATGTCAGGCAGGCAGTCAGGCAGTCAGGCGGGCACGTCAGGCAGGCAGGCGGGCACGTCAGGCAGGCAGGCGGGCAGGCAGGCAGGCGGGTGTGGGTGCAGTGTGGTGGGTTGTGGTGGGGTGGGGACACGCATCAGTGGCAGAGGTAGGCAGCAGAAGCAGCGGCGGCGGTGAGGCAGCGGCGAGCGAGGCGCAAGAAGCGAGCGCACCCAGGGCGGGCGGCGGGCCGCGGTACTCGGGTGGTACCGCCTGGTACTGCGGTCCCAGCCGCACATCCGTGCCCTCGTGGTCGTCCTCCTCCTCGTGCGCAGCGTGGCTGTGGTCCACCTGCCAGGCGGGCAGGCAAGCAGGCAGGCGGGCAGGCAGGCAGGCAAGAAAATGTAGAAGAGTGGGCACATCAGGCAGGCAGGCAGGAGATGGGTTGGCGCACCAGGCAGGCAAGCAGGAGGCCGTCTAGCCGGCCAAGGACACCAACCCCCGCTGCGCTGCCCGCACACACTGCTCCCCAGGCCCCCGCCCCCACCTGCAGCCACGGCTTGCCGCTGGGGCTGCGCAGCCCAGCCGCCTCCCAGCCGCCGCCGCCACCGCGGGGATCGGTGCGCCCACCCGGCGGCAGGCTCAGCATGCGCGGCCCGACGGCAGAGCCCGCCGCCGCGGCGGCCGCCAGGCGCGCCGCGGCCGCCTCGGCCGCCCGCGCCGCGCGCTGCATGGGCAGCAGCAGCGGCAGCCCCGCCAACTCCACCTCCTCCTCCTCCTCCGACTCCTGCTCCTCCACTTTGACGCCCCGGCCCTGCAGCCCTGCCAGCGACCGGCTGCGCCCCTCCTCTTCCTGCTCCTCCTCTGCCGCCGCCGCCTCCTCCTCCTCGTCTTTCTCAGGACTGGCGGTGGAGCGCCTGATCCAGCGCAGCACGCGCCGCTTCTTGGCAGGAGGCTGCCCCTGCCCCTCCTCCTGCTGCCCGCCGGCCGCCGCGGGCTGGCGGCCGGCGCCGGGGCCGCGGGCGGGAGCGCTCCTTGGCGCGGGCGGCGAGACCGCGGGCGCGGCAGCCCCCGCGCCGCCGCTCGACCGCTCCGCCTCTGCATCCTCCATCTCCTCATCCTCATCCTCATCCTCATCCTCGCCGTAAGGCCCATCCTCGCCCTCCTCCAAGCCGCCCGCCAGCACGCCCCGCGCGCCCTGCCCAGGCTTGCGCTTGTTGCGCGTCCGCCCCACCAGCCGGCTCGCCTCCGCCTCCGCCGCCTCTGCCTCTGCCTTGCGCTGCTTGGCGGCAAAGGGGCTGCGCCCAGCCCTGCGGCAGGCGGGGGCAAGCGCCAGCGGGGCGCTGAGACGTAGTGCCATGCCACAGCGCTGAGTTGGCAGAGGGGTGGCCCTCCAGCTTCCTCCTTTCCTCCGCACGCTCCGCGACCTCCCCGGGCCTTTGCCCTGCAGCCGGCGACCGCCTCCATGCCGCAAAGCCGCCACGCCGCAGCTTCCACGCGCTGCCAGCTCACACCCTCGGTCGCCGCAGCAGGCTGCACCGCACCGGCAGCCTGCCATGTGCTGCTGTCGGGCCAGCAGGCCGCACCAGCTGCACACACGCATCCCACCCAGCGGCCCATCACGTCCCGCCCTGTACCCTGCAGCCCTGTACCTGCGCCTGCCGTCCAGCTTCTGGGAAGCCAGCCAGGCGCCGATGGTCTGCGTGTTGTCTGCGGTACGAATCGTGTACTTCCACTTCTTGCTGTGCCCCGTGCCTGTGGGCGGGGCAGGGAGGGGACAGAGGCGCCGGGGCCGTCTGGTTGGTTGTGGCGCCCTGGCTGCAGGAGGGCCGCAGGGCTGAGCAGCAGGGAAGCAGGAGCAGCGAGGCGCAGCGACGGCGGCTTTTCGCAGCCGGCAGATCTGATTGCTGTGAGCGGCGGCCTGAGGCTGGACATGCCGTGGCTTGAGGCGGGACGACAGCCGGCGCCAACTGCGCCTGCTGCTGCCCACCCGAGTGCCGCTCGAACTCCGAAGGCGAGACGACGATGCGGCGCAAGCCCTCCCGCTCCGCCCGCGCCTGGCACTGGGAGCAGTAGCAGACCTGCAGGCGGCGGCAGGACGCGTGTGCGTGGGGGCCTGGCGGTGGGCATGGGCGGCGAGCGGGGCGCCACAACAGCCCCCACCACGGCGTGCAGAACCGCGCGGGCGGCCAGGCGGCAGCTGCGGAGGTGCAACGGAAGTACGGTGGTACAGCGGTACAGCCGCAGAAAGCGCACCATCATCTGACGGTCCACCAGAAAGGTGCCCCGCTGGCCGTTGCAGATCACGTCGACCTCTGCTGGCGGC